TTACCTCTTCGGTCCTCCCAAATGCATGGTGAGTATACTTGGGATTTCTACCTTAACTATTGAAAAAAGATCTACATCTAAGGCCGGACACACAAAAGACAAACCGCCCGAATCGACCGAAGTTAACCCAGGTTCAGCGGCGATCAGTTTTCGACCATCAATCGAGAACTCCAGCGATGGCTCTTCAATGGTTTTGTAGGCCCAAACCCGTTCTATATGGGTAAAATTCATAACGGGCCAATGACTCCTCGATTTGACAATCGGCCCAAAACAAAATGTTCAAGTCCAGAATGCTAGGTTTCCTAAAGACATCAGGATTCGACCTCTATAAATAGAATGATAGATTTAACCCTACAGGTATGCTGAATAACCCTACTTTTTACATTCGTCAACTTACGATTCTAACTTAAACATGGAAGATTGTGTGCCTAGCACCACACCGATGTTCAAGTTTATTTGTTTTGCAGGTCAATGTTCAATCTCATTTTGTTATTAGAAATTAGTGCAAATTTGGTGGAATCCCGAAGGCCAAAATTCTGAATATATTTCTAAGCCTTTGAAAGTATGCACTTTTTATCTAAGATTATTAAAACCTTTAAAAATATCATTTATCAACTAATTTTATAAACCTTTAAAAGATGTATTATTTTTTATAGAAGTATTTTGAAGACGTTTAGATTTTAACCAAAGGTTATTGAAAACTTTTGAAAAATATTATATTTACCAACAAACATTTAAAACTTTTAAAAAATATTATATTTATCAACAAGCATTTAAATCTTTTGAAAAATATATTATCATTTACCAAAAGTACTTAAAACCTTAAGAAAATTATGCACTTTTCATCAAAAATTATTAAAAACCTTTTAAAAAAATTATTTATCAACAAACATAGAAAGAAAATATATTATCTTCTTTTATCGAAGGTATTTAAAAAACCTTAAAAAATTACTAACTTTATTTTTTATCAAACGTTATTAAAATCTTTCCAAAAAGGTTAACATTTTTCAACAAACACTCAAACCATTACAAGACATATCTCAGAAGATATTTAGAGATGTTAAAAAATTATTTGAAATTATTCAGATTATTAAAAACCTTTACTTTATCGAAAGTATTTAATAAACTTTGAAAGTTATTTGAAATTCTTTACTTTTTTGTATGCTAGATTTTTAATAACCTTTCAACAATGTATACATAAGTCACAAAAAGAAATATACATTCAATTATTATTAAAAATAATATCATATACTTTACTTTCTAAAAATTTACTGTCTTTTGTCCATATCTTGCCTTCTTTAGCCTTCCCTCAGCCATAATCTCGACGTTGGGCCACCATTCTAGCCCATTGTCATCGAGCCGTCATCGCCATCTATTGCTGTCAACGTGCCGTCGTAGATCTACGTATTAGCGCTTGCACTCTCCGCACTATCTTGGATTATCAGTACGTTTTTCTCTTTCACCTTATGCAGATATACACCGACTGTTTTTTATCACACTCCCTATCTTCTGGCTGTTAGAAAATTAAGGTTCTAACAATTTTCCTTTCCACAGTTATATCCAGTAAATCAAAAGCAATCACACACATAAGAGATTAAAGAGAAGGCAATAACGACACAACGAATTTTATACTAGTTCACCCAACAACGCCTATGTCTAGTCTTCTGCTCAAATTTAGGTTCCACTAATATGAGATTGGATATAAGCACTCTAATATCTCCCCTAGATATTTATCGTCTAAAGGTCCCAACAAATGTCTTCTAGCTTCTAAGTTTTATAACACAATATACTTAGGTACATAAATGAAAAACTCACCAGAATCAAGATCTAATTACCTCAAATACGTCGATCTTGATCTGCCTCAACGCTGCTGCCAATACCCTGAGCCTTTGCCTCAAAACTGCCACAAAACTGCTCCCAAAACAACTCTGATGGCTCAAAACGTAAAAAATGCAAAACTACTGCTCTTACAAAGTTGATACAGCGTCATGGCTCTACGGATGGAAAGTTCGTCCGCACACCCTCACGCATTAGCGTCAGGTGCTGCCTCCATGGCATATAGCTCCGCTTCTTCGATTCTTTTCATTCATGCTTCATTCCAACGTCGATTTGGCTTCACTAATCCCAACAATCTCCCACTTGGAGATAAAGTGACAACTTTGCCTCTCATTGCACCAATAGTGTCCCTCATTTTGGCAACCCCGTCAAGACTCAATTCTGACTACACCAACAGTAACTGATTCTCATCTGCTCGTCCCTATCCAAACTTTGTTTGTGATTGCTCCGAGACTGAGCAATCCTACATTATCTTGTCTCTCAAATGCTAGAAACACAGCCACATGCTCCTATTCGATCTAAGTGGTCTCTTATGCTTCCTTCCTCAATCGAACCCGACAACCTCTGAATAAAGATTTCCCCTCGATGACTTGGCACTCCCACCCAAGTTTGTTGCCACCCTAAAGACTTCAATGATGTGATCATAATGGACCCAAAGCTCTAAGATCCCACCTACACCAATAAGGAGGATAGGCTTGAAGAACGACCCACAAAACGAAGGAAACTTCATTGGACCCAACAATAAATTTTGACCATTTTGAAGGCCAATGAAGAACCTACTAGGATCAAGAGGAAGCAAGTAATGGAGGAAAAGCCAAGCTAGTGGCGACATATCAAGGACAAACCCATCGCAAGGCCACTCGCACGCACGCCCAGCCAAGCGCATGCCAACGCGTACGCCCCCTACTGCGCCAACCTCCCATTGGGCCTCTTACAGCGCGTATCCTTACCACGCTAACCTCACAGCACGCCTCGCCTGCCCTCACACGCCTACGCATTGCCTGCCACCCATGCCGCCAGTGCCCCCGCACGCACCCATGCATACGCCTTACTAACCTCGCAAGCGTGCCCTGCCGCTCATGTCGCACGCCCCCTGCCTGTACGCCCCTATACGAACATCGCCTCACGCTTGCGCGCCCCAACCTTGTTCGTGCACGCCTCACCCCGCCAACGCCCAACGCCCCTTGCATGTCGCCAGTCTCGCCCACGCACACCGTCAGTGCCCCCAACCCACCAGCCATGTGCCTGCGCACACCCGTCATTCACTTTGGTTTTTGTGGGGTTTCGTATAGGATTCAGTTTGCTGGGAGAATTGGGTTAATGTTACATTTAAAAAACATTTTGAGAATTAAAAACATATTTCAATGCTGTCCTTTTTTATATATTTAGTTCTAACAAGATGCATGATTAGTAGTGCAAAGAGTGTTGCCCTCTTATCCATCATTATACATTTATACACACAAGCTACAAGATGAAGGATGTGAATAAATAAAACTTTGAACGGTGGCAATATATAACATCTTGATCCAGGTAACGCCTATAAGATACCAGATAAAAATATGTCGTAATTAATTGTAATAGGACAGTACTGTACAGCGAAGGGCGCTAAGAAATGATTATTCTTGGTTTGTTTTGATGTTGTGAATGAAACATTGAGATAGGTCATTTCACCTATCAACAACAATCTTTTGAACATCACATCCAACTAATATTTGGCTTTGCACAATAACTTAGAGGATTTGTTTATATTTGAAATTTGGAATTCAAAATGTCATTTCAAGGAAGATATACACGAATTTCACTCTAGTTTAGATCACTTCTCTTTTAATCTGAACTCTTTTTGGACATTTCATTTTAGTGTTGGATGTACTCATTGAAAGGTGAGATAAACTTTTCATACAAGCCTTCATGCTACTTTTGAACTAAAATCTTGAAGTTTCTAATTCGCATTGTTTAGTAATTTCTTCTATGATGGATTGTTTCATGGGTGATGGGGAAGCTTTCAAACAGATTGTCCCATCTGGTCACAAATTTTTTATTTTTCAATTTTTATAACATAAGATTTGTTTGCCAATAAATTAATGTCACAAACTAAAAATAATAGCTTACTGTATTTGATTGGCTTTTAAGCCACTTTAAGGTATAAAACCGCTTTGGAAAGCGGCTGGAAAATTGGAAAATTTGGGACTATTGGGAATGGATGTTGGACTACGCAACCCGACCACGGTGGTGGTGGAGATGGTGATAATTGGCTCATACCCGAACTCGCAGGATCTGAATATCGATGCAACTTGGTCGGAGACTCATCAGGCAGGGGGACTAGAGTGGGTCTTGCGCAACTGGGAAGGTGGTGTTATTCTTGCAGGAAACCATTTTGTCAATAACTATTTGAGTGTGAAGATGATGGAGGCTATGACTGTTCTAGAAGGGCAAAATCTACCATTTACGATGTCTTATCCAATTCAGGTGGAGAATGACTTGCTTGAGGTAGTTACGCTGTTGCGAAGGGAAGATGTTGATCTTACTAAAATATAATGAAATATTACATCTTCAAGTTACCTGTGGTATCACCTCTTTTAATAAAGTGAACAAAGATGATAATGTTTGTGCCCACTATCTAGCACGAAGGGCTTTTAAATGAGAGGAATGTGAATGTTGGGTGACATGTATCCCTGATTGGTTTGTCCTCATCGTAATCAGAACTTCCTTTCTTCTTAGTAAAAATTTCTTTACTTCTAAAAAAAATTAAGCATAACTGAATAAATAACACATCTATTACTGTTTCCAGGTGTGGTTTGATCTTCCACTCCCACCAACTTATTTTTTTAAGATAAATAAAAATATAGTTACCATCATAAATATTGAAAATGTAATGAGGTCAACATAAGTTTAGTCACTCAAGTAAAATGGGGATGCATAATATTAAAAATTCTACTCAAAAGGTCAGTTTAAAAATTATTTAAAAATAATTGAAAATCTCTTCACCTCCCATCAGGGGCTGGTGGCCTCATAAATAGTGCAATAAAACCAATCAGAAAACCTGTAAAGGGACTGTTTTAGGGCGATCTTGATGCAATATTAGTTCTTCCCCCACTAAGAAAATTGAAAACCTGCCTCAAATTTCCTCTGGAAGGCCTTGCATCTGTTGCAAATTTACAGATGTATACGAGCCGTCTCCTCATTTCCAATTTAGTAATGCGAGTCTTGTTGAAAGATTTCCCACAATCGAAAGTTCCTGCAATGATTTAACACGGTTACTAATGATCACACACTTGAAAGCAATATACCTTTCTCTTTCACAATCGAAAGTTTCTGCAATGATTTAACACGGTTACAAATGATCACACACTTGAAAGCAATATACCTTTCTCTTCTCTAAAATCAAAGAAGCATAATTTTCTTCCCCACAAACCAAAAATAAGCCTAAAAAAAGTTGTTCAGGTATGGAGATAAATGCTCTTTTTCTCTCTTGGGAAGATGGGGTTAAACCTACATCAAATTGAAGTTGAATATAATTTTCTTCCTTTTTTAATTCAAGAGTGTCTAAGCCAAGTGCGCTAGTTTCACTAATTTCACGGGACAATCACTAAATCCTACTACATTTGGTTGTCAAGGTAATTCGTAAGATATTAAATTCTAGGTTGGTGACAACCATAGTTTTAACTCATTCTACAGTTTTAACTCATTCTACTTCTCGAGTACAAAAAAAACAACATTGCTATATTAATTTCACAGGATAATCACCAAATCTTACTACATTTGGTTGTCAAGGTAATTTGTAGGATATTAAATTCTACGTAGGTGACAACCATAGTTTTAACTCAGTCTATTTCTCGAGTACAAAAAAACAACATTTCTATATTAATTTCACGGGACAATCACCAAATCTTATTACATTTGGTTGTCAAGGTAATTCGTAGGATATTAAATTCTAGGTAGGTGAGATCCATAGTTTTAACTAATTCTACTTCTCGAGTACGAAAAACAGCATTTCTATATTAATTCAACACAAATTATACTCTGAAGATTAAGGAAGTTCGACTTTGATGCCAAGGGATCGAGTATTTACACCATCCTTTCCCCCCTTTGACCCATCATCCTTCATTCACAATTCAAAAAATATACCCATTGGCCAGATGAAACTACCAATATACCTTAAACTACCAAAATCACCAAAAGATCACTCCAATCGTTCTAGCAGAGGAAGAGCAGATAGATAGATGAAAAGAGGATACAATGGGTATGTTGATGTACTCTAAGGAAGTTTTGAGGAAAGATTTCAGCTGATGTACCTTTGTCATCGAATATAGAAGTCAATATCGCCAAGCAAACGCATATGCTAATATCTTCCCCTACAAGTAAATAATACAGAGATCACTAAACAAAAGTAAAGCATACTTGAATACCAGTTACAAAGATAGAAGTACACGAGTACAAAACTCATTTGTCGAAAGGCTATTGTATTGTAGAGCTATTAGCCCAACTATTCAAAAGACAGAGAACTAACATTTTCTTCCCCAATCTGTCAACCCTCGTCATTTGGTTTCCATCTCAAATATGTGAATTTATTGTAGTTGTAGTTAAATATAAGGTGTTCTCACCATTGCTACAGCAGACTAGAAGTCTTTTCCCTAGGCAAAGATTTGACTTTGCAAATGCTACTGCAGAAGGAAGATTTCTTGATAGAGAAAAGCGATCCAGTTTCGACATCTGGAAAGCAGAAACTGTTAAATAAGTTGAATAGGTACTGCAGGCCTAGATTGGCTAATAATCTTATTTTCCCATACCACCATAGGTAGATGAAGATAAGCTTCTGCTTTTGGAAGGCAAACAGATACAGACTCTTGATCACAATTTAAGATGCAATCAACGTCGGATGCAGTCACTGCTGCACACACAAAAACAAAAAGTAAACAACAAATGAGGAAAGTGAATAGACAATAATGATGCAATCCTTGAACCCACAGAAAACACACTCCTACATTCGTTGCCGAACTCATTATATTTCCATAGTACCACATGGTTGATATAACTCACATATAGTAAGGATCATTTTTTGGATAGGAATCAATGTGCTAGTCTTACAAACAAAAAGTGAGAAACAAACAGCCCAAAACCCGACCAACAAACTGCAAAAACAGATCCTTCCTATCGTCTAAAATCATAATAGGTTGTAGTTACAAGAGAAAAATTCTTGTAGTTTGACCACCACGAAGTAGTATGCTATACACCATTCCAAAAAGGATCAATGAGATCATTCCGAAGAATCTGTGAAATAAATCTAAAAAATGAAGAGTGAAATCAAGTTCTCATGTTAAACCAGTATTTGATCAGTTGATCACTAATCTTGAATAATGACCGAAATTGCATTCTATATCTCAACATACAGTTAAGCATTTCAATTATTTAGGAAGACATTAGACACTTCTTAGCAGAAATAGAAGTAGATAGGCTGAGGATATTGTTTTTCCTTCGACCTTCATTTCTAAGATTGATGATGTACGAAGTGAACAAGCATTCTTCAGGATGTTAAAATCAATAACCATCAACTGTAAATAATTTAGATCCTCAAGACAAGCAAAATTGGAGGTAAATACCATATTGAGATGAGCCTACAGCAAGATTAGTTGAACCAAGCCAAGATAATGCACAATTTCCATTAGAGGATTTCGTTATCTTAGCATCAGATATATCCAAAGTTAACATCTGCTCAATAGGTGGGACTTGAGTTGAGGATCCCCCCAGCTTCTGAGATTTAACACTGATCTGAGGCACATCATTTCCCCTTAGAGTTCGATATACTCTATCCTTTTCGACTATTTCAGCTACCTTCTGATTACAGACATCAGGTCCAGAGCTCATAAGATCATGTGCATGATTCCAGAATAGATTAGGAGACAAGCCTCTTGCCCAACTTTCTTCATCATCTCCAGCTCCGGCGATGTAGTTCCAGCTAAACTCCGTGGTTGTCCTCTGTTGAACCACACCGATAGAGAAAGAAGCAGAAACAAGTATAATGGGCGTGAAATCCCAAGAATCGTGATCGGGGACTTCGTTTAACCAGATTACAGATCTCTGTGAAATCCACAAGGGGCGCAATGGTTTTTTCAGGGTGGATGCTAGTGTGGCGACATCAGCTCTGCTATCATCTAACTGTTTTGTCCATTCTTCAAGGTGTTCTTCAATCATAGCTTTCTCAGTGCCAGAAACCCAGAGGGGAAGATGTAAGGAACAGTCCCAATCAGCAGCAGGTTTCCTTCCATTTTCAGCCAGCACATCAGAAGTGGAGGGATCCTGTTGCAAGCGACATTGAACACAGAAAATGTGAGAATTTGGCCACTTTAAGTTTCACCTTGAGAGGTAGGGATATAAGTGGGTCAATTAAGGTCAGTTTTCAATATAAGAAAAATAGAAAACTGACATAGAAACCATTTTTTTTTTAAATCCATATTGTCTGCTTAACTCAAACAAACCACCAAACCAATTAAATTCGAACTGAACAGACCGAACTCAAGAGAATCTATCCAAATGTTCAAGATTGAGATAATTTAACTAATCAAACTGACATGTTACGATCAATTTCATCGAATTTTCAGTTTCAAACTTACACCCAACTAGGAAAAGGGGTGAGGGGATTTAGGAGTAAGCACTACAAAAAAATTAGAAAAAGTGTCCCCGCTGCTTTGTGACATGAGTAGACTTGCAAAGGATAATAGACTGCCACGTGATAGCAAGGAAAAACAAAATAGCAAATACTCACCCCTAGCTCCAATGAATTGTCATGGATTTTGTTTAAATGTTTGCTTATAGACCGATTCAAAACACAAGTCCAAATGGGAATGGTTTTGGACATGCTATCAGGAAACCGCTTCCCTCTCCGAGTGGAATCGACTATAATACACCCTCCCATTTGTCCTACCCATCAAACAAAGAAGCGAATCATACATACAAACACTTCCGAAATGTAAAAGTGCATTTGAAAAGTCTTCATTATAAACATTCAATGTTGGCAAAATTACCCAAAATTATACTGTATCCCAGTTTTTCTCCTCCCATTTTTCCTCTTCATGATTCCATTATCTTATTTAATTGGAAAGTGGAAGAAAAATAGAGAGGGGAAAAGAGGATGTACCCTACCAGCTAAGAGCGCGACGTGAAGATTAAGGCGTGAAGTACTGAAAGAGCAGTTGTTGGTGTGGCCGTCGGTGGACTTAAAGTAACAAGTGGAGTGAAACTTCGGGGAATACCAGAGGCCGCAACGAAGATTTGCGAGAAGAGGAAGCTCCGGCCATAGCTGAGAGATCTCGCCGACGAAAATAGAGTCCTCATAAATTGACCTAAGGGCATTGTAGAGAGTATTATCTCTGCGTTTTATGCTCCTCACGGCCTTGTATATGCTTAGCTTTGCACCGTCCTCCATGGATGAATCACGCAATGGTGGTGCACAGTAAAACCTCTAAACTCTCTTAACATTTGATAGGGAACCCAATACCTTAAATCCTTTTGATTTGTGAGAAAACCTCCCCATCACAACTAGAATATGATAAACACCAAAAAGAAAGAGATAGAGAGAAATAGTCAGCAACCTGAAAGATGCAAAGAACTGACTAGAATATGATAAACACGAACGATAAGTCCATCTACTCCGGCTCCACTCTGATCTACGACTTCCTCACCCAGTAATCTCCATCAAAACAAAAACCAAAACCCAACCACCACAATTTCTACGATTTCCACCAAAACCCCAACTCACACGATTAGGAGTGTTGGATGCGAATTTGAACCTGCCACGTGTCATGGTAAGAGAGGTAAGCTGATTTGACGTGCGGTTGGAATTAGAAATTTTCCTAAAGATTGTTCAGGTCAGCGGTTATGGACCGAGCTAAGAGGACGAGCCGACCTGAACGAAGTCCGTAAACGTGTCTCTTCCGAACCCGACAACACGCCGTATTTTTAGGGTGTGTCAGAGTTCCTGTCGGGCGCAGTTTCTATAAATAGAAACCCCAGCGTTAAATGCAAGGTACGCAATCTTAGGTAGACTCGGCAAGTTAGCTCGGACCAGAACTGACTTGCTCGTCGGAGTGCTAACTTTGTTTTGTAGGTCTCGAGAGTGTTCAGGGGGCGTGGACGGTTGGCCGTAGCTCATCCCGTACCATCCGATCTACGTCGGAACTGAGCTCGACAATTTCGAGCTCAAACATTTGGCGCCGTCTGTGGGGACGACACATCTAGAAGTCAGTCTCACTTGTTGCAAGCTG